CTTGGCTGGTTTGCTGGGCTTTCTCTTCTGCTAGGCGGGTGTCTGCTTCACTGTGCAGCCTGCTCGGCCTCAGCTCCTGGAGCTTCGGGCCACTACACAGTGGCAGAAGTACAAGATCAGCGCCAACACCTGGAAATGAAACACACCAGCCTGGAGCTCTAAGACAGCAGGACCAGTGGGGGCCACTTCGGGGATGCTTGCTCAGCACTGATTTGGTAGGAGCTCCCACCACATGGCCACCAAGTCACTGTGCTTCAACTTTCTGAAACACCTTTTTCTAGCTTGTAGTTATTAGCTTTTTAAAAAAGATTTTTTTTCCTAAGTCTGTTAAACCACTTTTATTTTCTACTTGGAGACCAAAACCAATCAAACCTTAATAGTAATCATATTCATTACTGTACATTTTTTAAAAAAAATTTAAAATAGGCTCAGTGATTGCACAGAACTGGCAAATAAAGTAGTATATTAGTACTTATATATCTCTGAAGGTATTATTTATATGGAAATGAATCATTTTAGCAATTAGAGATATTCTTCTAATCATTTGCTTCTTTTAGCCTGTTAAGACAACTGACTATAATGAAAGTAATGTCTCAGTGCATATTTATTTGAAATGCATGACACTTGAGTACTCTAGAAACAACTGCTGGTTTATTAAAGGCGTCAGAGGTATGAGACAAGGGGCATGTTATGTCAATTAGTGGTGTCAGTGCCTCCAAAGCCTTTGCCAAAAGCTCTCCCATTCACTGCCTTGAAGCAGAAAAGGAAAAGGCACTTTTCAATCATGTAGCATTTGCCATAGGAATGTGCCTCTTTGTCCTGTGCTAAGCACCTCATGGCAGCCCTTCTGCCTGTGCCTGCTGAGCAGCCACAGGCTGGCCCGGGGGGCAGAGGGCCCTAGGACAGCCATCTCCTCCTGAAGCACTGCCAGCATGGTGGCACAGTGGCAGGGCATTCACTTGGGAGTCCTTCATCTCTCTTGTACAATTAAAATACTTCATCTTTTTATAGGCAATGCGTAAGTCTACACAAGAAGTATTCATGACAAACTTCTGGCTTGGGGAATTCTTCACAGAACATTTTACATTTGCTTGGTACACGGTTCAAGCAAACTCTTGTGCTTGTGTCAATGAGGGAAATTAACTGAACAATAAGCAACACTGAAGTAAAGTATTGGGCAATATGCATCTTTGTTTTTTAAAAAAAGCCATTTAGTTTTTTTTTCCACCCACAAATGCATGGGAAGTGCAGAAACCAAAGTTAATCTATATGATGTGTAATTTCATACTTCTACAGACAGACAAGACAAATTAAAACAGAAACATTCAGAATTTAACCTGATTAAATATTTAGTTCAGTCCTGAGCTTTTGATATTTAGTACAATATAGATAAAAACATAGCATAACAAGATTTTAAATTTATTTGATTTGCATGCTACAGAGATTCAACTAAACTTTGTTCATTTGGCTAGTAATATTCTTTTTGTACCTGTAATACTCAAGATTCTGATATACAAAACTGTAATAACATACTGATAATTCAAAGTTGAGAACTAAATATTACATTCTTTTTACCCTGTGCAGAATAAATTCTACCTCTTTAAAATAGTATTTATAATATTAAAATTCATATTTGTTCGTGTGGTTTTGTGATCAAGTCAGTAAAATATCTCATCACTGTGAGTCTTGGGTTAGTACAACATGATGGGTCATCAAAAGCTGCCTCTATATAAAGAGCTCTATTGCTGACTTTTAAAGTGTGGAAAAGGATCACATCAAAATAAGTTTGCCTCTCATGTTAGAAATGAGAAAGTTTTATAAAATAAAACCCAAAGCTTCTTGGTCAATATTGTTAACTATCAGCCAGAAACAGATTTCTTTCCTTAATACTTGTCTGAAACTTTTTGTACTACAAAAAGTTAACAGTTAATCTGATGAAAATTTATAAAGCTGTAAATATTCCAATATAGCCTCTTCTATGTCAAACATTTAAAATGGCCAGAACCAAACTATATATTAAACAGAACATAAATAAGACCGTAAATAAATAAATGAAGAAAATAAAATCGTATGGTAGAACTACACACAATTCTATAAACATTTTCATGGTCAGAGTAAGAAGCTGAAAACAGCTGACCTTCATTTAATTCTACATTAAATAAACTTCTGTCTTTCACATTTAATTTCAACAAGGAAGAATGGCATTCTTTTTCTAGCTTTCCTTAGTCATCCAAAAGAACGAACTGGACAGCCGTGGACTAGGCTCAGTCAATCACCAGGCTGACTTCTGTTCAAAGCAGGGTCACATCCAGTTATACTTTCAAATAAACTGGTATATAGCGGTGAAACATTTAGAAGAAAATTAAATTTTAGGCTCAGAAACTGCTTAATTTGAACTCTGATTAAATAAACTTTCTAATTATGTTTAAGTAGTTTTAAGAAAATAAAAATTATTGCAAATGAGGCTTCAAGCAAAGGAACACATCTTTTTTTTCTTTCAGGGATCCACTCTTTTAAGATAATGGTTTTGGGCCGGGGAGATGGCTCAGTGGAACAAGCGCTTCCCTGGCAAGCGCAAGGGCCTGAGTTCAATCCCCGGTTCCGCAAAAAACAAAACAAAACAAGATAATGGTTTTATTTCTAAAGGAACTGACTTATTTTGCTATGTAAGATGGCTAACCCAAAACTGCACTTTCCACTACACCATACTGAGTAATAAGTATGGCTTAAATAGCCTAAATTTTAAGTGTTTTAAAAACTCTATTTATACTGGCAAAGCTATACTGAGGAGGGGCCCACACTACATGAGCTAAAATTTTAAACTGGGGGACTGGATACTTTTATCAGCTTGTATCTTTGAACTCACTCATCCAAGATAGTCTTTTTCTTTCTTTCTTTTTAAATAAATGATTTAGCCTATTATCACTTCAAATTGGTAATACTCCCATACTCTTTCCTTTGCCTCCCAATGACTTAACATCAATTATAGATAGAAGCCCCTTAAACTGAGAGCTGCAAGGTAATTTCTAGATGTCAGATGTGTGTTGGACAAGCTTTTTTCTTTTCCTTTTGGCATCTGTGATTCACGTACGATGCAGCCTCTCTGCTGCTCTTGGCGTCACCACGTGCGTGCGGACGTTTCCCTCTGCATCACCAGCACTGTCTGTTCTCAGAGCTGGGGGCCACACGGGCCTTGCCTTGGCACCACCCTCACACCCAGGAGGAAACTGGTGAAGGCCAGAAACTCCCACGAAAACCTTGCCAGTGCGGGTCAGGTTAGAAGCAGCAGCTGCTCAGTTGATGCTTCTTGAGTGTGCTTTAGATAAATGTGTTCTTCGCTCTCTGTTCTCACCCTCAGTGCTGTGGCTTATAAGCTCTTCAGTACAACCAAGGCACTGCACCTTTATGTTCTTATACTGCTGTACTCAGTATCTTTTATTTTTGTTTTCTCTAAATAACTATTTTAAGAAAACATGTGTTTCAACAAAGGTAACAGGGCTGAACGGAGCACCCATTCTGGCTGGCCATGGAGTTGTGAACTCACCTTCCTTCAAAAAGGCTGCACGGCATGAAGCCCTTCATAGTTTGCTCACAGGAAACAAAGAGAAAGTCAAGATTGCCTTCTGCTGAGCCGGGCTGCTGAGCCCAGCTCCATGCACAAGCACTGACACTGCTTCTGCCACGCTGTGTGCAGTAAGGCTCACTGCAGCACACGTGTGACATCTGTGCACCAGCCTAGCCCAGTTTGATATCTGATTTTTCTTCTTTAAACATATAGGACATTACACAAAAGGTAATTTACAAATTGACATCTGGTTGAAAATCTGGTATGAATAAGAGCTGACAGTTATGTTACAAAAAAACAAAACAAAACAAAAACAAAGCAAATGTTCAGTCTTCTGCCCTCCCTAAGAATGTGAACAGGTGAGAAGCAATGTGCCCTGCCATGGGTCACACGTCATCAGCTGGCAGGGAAGGGATGCTGATCTTCGCTCGGGTGAAGTAGGCAATCTTCTCCCTGGGAAGGGGGGACAAAACCAGCTTCAGGATGATACTGAGAACACTGTGACCACTAACACAGCCCCCACAAGTCCAGCAGTGTCCCCACCACCAGGGAGGGGCATCTTCTCCTCGGGCAGAACACCACTCAGAATCTAGACAGCCCTTGCCTTTCAGGATGGCACTTGGAGCTGCTGCTCTGAGTCCTGTAAGTCACTACGGACACCAGGCTGGGGAGTCCCTTCAGAGGTGCCCGTCCCAGGACCAGTTTTATTTCCCCAGGGATTCGTATTGTTGCTTTAAACCCAACAGTAGAAGATTCAAAAGAATCAAAGATCTGCACAGAAACTTCTTAGCAATCCCAGAGATAAGCCTGAGATCTCAGGGCAATTCTTTACATTAGCACCATGGTAATAAAGTCAGGGACCACCTGACAAGTACCATGGCCCAAACACAGAAGAGGCATTTGATTATGTTAATGGGGGAAAGCTGCTTTATCAAAGCAGGGATAGGAAGTCACTTAGAGAGAAAAGCTGGAGGGTGCAAGAAAAAATAAGATTTTAGCATTGTACAGTTATCAAAGATGACAACAGTCTGTCTTTTCATAAAACTCATATCGCACCCAACATTCAGTCAACACATATGAACCAAGGGAATATTCTAGAAATGAGGCCAGAATAGGTTGTTCTAGAGGCTAAGGCAAGGCTGAGGCAAAAAAGAAGGGTGAAGAAGATGAGCATAGTGGGATGAGAGCATAAAGTGTTTTTTGATTAGTTCAACTGCCTGAGAGACAAAAGACATTTAAAAAGGCAAGAGAGTCTAGGCATGATGTTCTGGGAGGCCTTAAGGTACACTTAAAGGATGGGGTTTTTAAAAATGCCTATGTTGTGAGTGACTATATCTGAGATAATATGAAATTCTTCCTTTTTTTTTTTTGTGGAACCAGGGATTGAACTCAGATCCTTGCGTTTGCCAGTCAAGCACTTATCCTACTGAGCCAACCCCCCGGCCCCTGAAATTCTTGATTTCTAACTTCTCTGGAAAAATCAGAAAGCCAGAAACACAGGGCTCCCAGTTCCAGATGAAACAAGCTGCTGGGGTGGGGTTGTGTCAGAGTGCCAGAAAGAGTGGTCCACATCCCACCCTCTCCAGTCTCTCATCGTCTGTCAGGTGCCAGGAACCATGCAATCCCTCCTGGCGCCACTGTACTTCCAGGACAGTGTGTCTTATCCTGGTGCATCATGCTCATCGCCTGTGTAGTGGTATGTGTTTGCTTCTTAAGAAAAGTAAGGAATGTTTACACAATCTTTGTTTTGGTTTTGGTAACAACTGGAAGTTGTGGAGTTGTAAGTTCCCATACTAGACAATGCTACCTGATACTGAAGTAACCCAGGGCACAACACAATTGCCATCAAATGCTAGTTTCAAATGCCCAAGTAACAATGCTTCCCAAGTCACAGATGCAGTGCTCTAGCAGAATGAAGCCAGCAAAAGCGTAACTCTCTACCATAAAATGTCATCTGAAAAACTGGAATCATTACCCATCATACCTCAGCTTCCTTTCCTTCTACTTCTGGAGTCCCACTGCCCCAGTCCTGCAGTAGCTGCCAGTGCTGCCTCCTGGCCTTGCCCTCCCTCAGCACCAAGTATTACTAAAGACAGCTAAGTTAGGTGGAAATATCTTAGGCAGTCAGACAGGGCTGGGCCCTCAAGAGAGTCATCCCTCCCCAGGGGATAAGCAAAATACTTTAACTGGTATCACCTGGTCCAACGGTCTAGATAGACAGCAGTTACCAGGTGTGTGGCCAGGACCTGACACATCTCTTCCAACAAAGGTCCTTGATCTTTCCTTGTGTACCTTCTACATGATTTGCTTCCTTGTTAGATCAACATTACTTCAGCACTTATATCTGTAATCTTACTGGCTGATGATTGTTTGGTCCTATGTTGTATCCACCTTGTGATTTTGCTATAGAAAACTGCCTTTGAGGAATGGGCTCATTGACAACCTGTGAAGACCCCCTCCTGTCTTGGGAGCTGCCTCTGCCTCAGTAAAATTTCCTACTCTTAACCTCCATTGTTTCTTTGAGCTCATTCTTCGATTTCGGGAGCTTGGTGTACTGGACTTGCAGCAGGTGGAAGTTACAGGAATTCTCTTACATCGTTTAGCAGTCCTGTCTCAGCACTAACTCTTTCAAAATGGTCCTTGCTCCACCACACTTCACCATCTTCCCCATACTTCAAAACACTGTCCCCATACTAGGGTTCTCCCACATAAGCTAATAGCTTTTTTAAAGTCTCTCTATATAAAACAGAAGTCAAAACTTAAACAAAGAACTGATAATACAAAATTACCTGTGGCCCTCCACTTACTTGACTGCTGGTATACCTGGCTGGTATTTTTGACAACCAATAGCCACCTTTCCTCATTCCATCTCAGTTCCCTTGAATTCTTTTCTGTTATGTCTGACAGTATCAGTCTCTTCCCATCCTTCCAGCTTTAGGACTGCACTCCTCTGGCTCTTCTTACCTCTCTGGCCAGTGCTCTTACATGTGTGCTGCAAGTTCTAAAACTGACAGTGCCCAGAAGGCTTCCTTTCCATTTTCTGGCCCATCTGTATTGATGAAACCATTGTATCAACGCAGAAGACTCCCAGTCCTTATACTATCCTGACTCCAGTCCTCGCTTGAGATTTTGATTTCTGCGTATCTACCAACCACAGTACCTGTGCTGCTATAGTGGTATGGATAACCTGGGATAGGCTGAAGCAGGACCTGGTAGCCTCACTCTGAACCTTTCCTTTCTCTGGCTTCTTTGTCTGGAGTCCTGGCCCTACGAGGCAGCACCCTTCCCTCCATTCACCTCCTATAAGTTCACTGTCTCCTCTCACAGTTTCTCCCTGGTCCTCTCTCCACAATGTCTCAAATATCTGCTCCCTCAAACTTGAGGCCTATTGTTGACTTTGGTGTTTGGAGACCTTCCTGGCTCCCTCACCATCTGGATCCGCAGCAGAAACCTCTAGCACAGCACCTAGAGGCCAACTCCACTCATAGGTCCACCCTTCTGGCAGCTTCGCTGGCACACAATGGACTCAGCATTGATTTTTTTTTTTTTTTTTTTTTTTTTGCGGAACCGGGGATTGAACTCAGATCCTTGCATTTGCCAGTCAAGTGCTTATTCTACTGAGCCATCTCCCTGGCCCCCTCAGCATTGACTTTTAAGGCTCTACCCTTTTCCATGCTGTTTCTTTCACCCCACAGCCTGAGGAATCCACTATGTCTGTCCTCTCCATGACAGACTGCGGTGCTGCTTCTCTACCACCCCCTCTAGTGTCTGCAGCTCATCATCTGCAGTGCACAGAGGGATGTCCTGCCTGCAGCGTTAACAGGTCCCTATATTACCCTGTCTTAGCTTTTGCCACATGACACCACAACGATCTGGCTGTGAACCTGTATTCTTTGCTTTTCTGTTCTGGGTCTAGCAGAGAGCAAGGCTTCAGAGGTCCAAAGTGAATAGACAACAAACTCCCAAAGATCTGTGGCTTTCCTGCTCATCTACAAAATACCCTTGGTCTTTCTAAGGAGAAGTGCTAAGGGTACTGAGAGCTGGGGATGCTGTCTTTTTGGGCAGCCAGGTTGTAAACCAGCCAAGAGGTAATCTCAGAAAGGTGCAAACACACAGCTGTGTATTGATACTGCAGAAGAGACCTGATATTACCCTGCACTGCACTCTGAGAGGAATTCCTGCAGAATCAGAAGACATGAGAACAGCCTGCCAGCTGTCCCTCACAGGGCCACTGTTACAGTTTGCCCTGGATGTCCCCCCTAAATTTCATGCAATCGTGGGGTGGGCTTCTAGAGTTTGTGATTAATTCATGGTCCAATGCTGGGTGTGAGTGCTGACGACTCTGAGTGCTACACCTGCCCTGGAGCAGGTATCCTGCATACAATACAAGGGAGGGAAAAGGGGCTTGATCTCTTACTCCTCCATTTTTGTTCTTGTGCTTTTGCTGTTTTCCATAAACTATTGCTCCTCTGCCACGCCTCTTTGCCTTGGAGCCAGCTTGAAATGAAACCTCCACAAACTGTGAGCTACATAAACCTTTCCTTCTTTAACTTTGGACTTCAGGTATTTTGTCTTAGCAATGAGAAAAAAGTAATCAAGGCAGCCACTTGCCTGAAGGACTGCACCTGCTGTGGCACCTTCCGGCTCTGCTCCCGAAGCCGGCACACGTCCTTGGAGACCTGCCTCATCAACTTCTCGGCATTCAACCCTTGCTTCTGCTCTTCTTTTGACTGCTCAGCCTGTGAAGAAAACAAGAACACAAGAAACCCTGAGAAGATCCATCAGAGGTCCTTGACGATATGCCCTAAGGCTTGAAAGAGTGGGAGGAAAACCAGGCAGGTAGCTGGGCGGCCAGTGGTGTCCTTTTTACCCATCAGGTGACCACATCTGTCTGCCTACCTCACATGGAAGGGACTGACTGGGGGCAGGGCGGAGTTTAACTGCACTTAACCTCTCCATCGGCACCACAGACTATTCCATCTGGAAAGTGTAAGAATTTTGAAGAAAGAAACAGCGAAGTACTGTAAGTGCTATTTCCAAGAAATACCACTGTTAACATTTTTGGTGAACACATTTTCAACCTGTTCCTCATCTTTGCTATCCTTTCTGCTAAACTGGCCATTTTAAAAACTGCTTATTTGAGCTGGGTGTACAGGAACATGCCTGCAATCCCAGCACTCTGGGAGGCTGAGGCAGGATTTTGAGGTCAGCTTGTGCAACTTAATGGCTTAGCAAGACTATGTCTCAAAAAAAATTAAAAAAATAATTATGTTGGAGATTAAGCTCAGTGTGAGCCTAGGGCTCAATTCCCAGTATTATAAAGCAAAAGCAATGGACAAAAACTGTTTGTTGAATAGAGCTTATCTACCAACCAACTGAACATAGGAGTACACAGTTCAAAGAGATTGACATGGGAACAGAAGCATGCGAAGTGCACAGGCTGAAATAATAGAGAAAACGTTCCAGGGCCCTGCCCCATCATCCTTCTGGTGTTCACCCTAAGCACTGCTGGCATGCTGATTTCTAACAGAACTGGCTATTCTTCCTACTCTGTTCTTTGTAAGCATGGAATGGTACAGCAGGTACTTGTTAGGGTTTAACTCCTTTTGCTCAGTAATGGGCTTATGAGAATTATATACACTACTGCACAGAGGTATATCTCATAGTTCTTACTGGTATATAATATTCCACTATGTGACTTCACCACGCTTTTTGTGTCACTGTTAATGGACATTTGGATGTCTTACATGAATACATTTTTAAAATAAAAATGAACTGCCAATTCATTTCATTCAGTTGCCCAATCAGATATTTGTTGACTGCCTTCTAGGGTAAGATGGCAAAAGTCAGTGATAAAGAACAAAAACTCTAGAGCTGTATTCCTGAATTCAAGTTCCATTTCCATAATTTTATAGCTATTTGTATTTGAGGAAGTTGCTTGGCCTCCCTGTAACTTAGTTTCTTCATTTGTAAACTGTGGATACTGTAGAGGCTTGTCATGGTATTCTTTTTATTTTTTTCATGTATTTAGTACGGGGTCTACAAGTCTCACTACACAGATTGGACTTGTAGTGATTCTACTGTTTTCAGCCTCCCAAGCACTGGGATTACAGGCACACACCACCACGCCCAGTCTTGTCATGGTGTTTAAATCAGTTAACATATGTAAAGTATTCACAGAAGTATCCAATACATCATTAAATGTATTATTTGAATGTGTTGCTGTTATTGCTGCAATTTTTACTATGAGCTAAATAGGAGTTAGGAAAACAGTGAGAGTTAAGACAGATGGAGACTATTTGGAGAACAAATAGCAAAGACTGAGGCTGGGGAGATGGCTCAGTAGAGTAAGTGCTTGCCTGGTAAGCACAAGGGTCCGAATTCAACCCCCGGTGTGCCAAAAAAAAAAAAAAAAAAAAAAAAGCAAAGATTACAAATTTTAATGTTCAT